AGGTTTGGATCACGGAGAACATTCATGTTTTTAAAAAACACGTTAAAGCCAGAATAACTTCCGGTTCAAAAGTAAAACGAGCTGTAGGCCAATCAGCGACTTCTTAGGTCACCCACTGGGACATACCATTTCCGTTGTGTTTTCGTTAATGTCGTTGTGTTTTTGTTAATGTTGTTGTGTTTTTTAATTTGTATTCGTGCATTGTTAATGTTGTTGTGTTTTCATTAATGTTGTAGTGTTTTTGTTAATGTTGTAGTGTTTTTTAATTTGTATTTGTGCTTCGTTAATGTTGTTGTGTTTTTGAATTTGTATTTGTGCTTTGTTAATGTTGTAGTGTTTTCGTTAATGTCGTAGTGTTTTGCACCTCAGGGCCACCGTAGATAATGCTATTTTCTTCCTCCATCAGAAATAGTTTTGGATTTTGTGAAAAAAAAACAAAAACAACTCACGTTTTAAGTCTGAGATGAGGTACCGCTTTTTCAAATAGTAGGTTTCTGTTAATGATTTTTCCTGAAGAAAATACTATCTTAAGATCTCATCTTAATTTTGGCATTTTTGTTAAATGTTCCAAATCAAAGGTCATCAAAAGTGTTGCTGATGATAGAATAATACAGTTATATGCGAAAGTGTTTGTTTTATGCAAAAGTAAAACTCATTTCTAGATTTGGTTGGAATGTTTCAGTTCAAAATTGGTGTGGTCTAACAAAAAAGAAGAAAAAACATTCAAAAGTTGTTCAGGTTCAAGAAGACAGAAGTTCACACAATAGTAAAGAATTTCAAAAGAAAAACCTGAAACAAACCAGACAACCAGGAAAATTATTGCTGTTGGTTTGATCACATTTAATTCAAACAAAATATGGCTAATTGGAAGTAAAATACAGTATGAAGTACAAGGCTTAAAAACATTTCTCTGCATTGAATGATCTGCAAAATTACACTTTTGTTTACTTTGTTGTACCTCGACTCATGATGGCTTTCCTTGTATTTCTGTCTGGTTTCAACAGGATTATGTAACATTTAGGACCAAAAAGTGCCACTAAGAGGCCAAAACTGGAGGCCAGGATGGCAAATACCTCCACTGCATCTGCATATTTAGCTGGAGAATTGATATAAGCGGGAACAAAAGCCACCCACACAGCACAGAAGATCAGCATGCTGAATGTGATGAATTTGGCCTCATTGAAACTATCGGGAAGATTTCTTGCCAGAAATGCTAACAA